CATTTCTGTCCCCCCCGACTTTGCATGTCTTTTATTGTCACATGCTAAACTATTTTGAGGAATTTTGTAGATAAGCTTAGAAATGGTAACAACAGAGGACGTGATACGTGAGAAAGATTCTTTTTGAGCAGACAATAGGACTTTGGGGAATAAATCCCAGGGTCCTTCTCCTACGTATAGACCTCGATGGCCAGCCCCTGCATGTATGTGAGCACACGTGGAAGTCAGCATGAAGCCACAAACAGCACGTGGGCTTTGAAGTTTGCTTAACCTGGATTCTGTCTCCCCCTACACCCTGGCCCTGCCACAGCTAAAACCTTCCGGTGGCTTCCCATCACTCCAAACCAGTGTTTCTCACACTTGAGCGTGCATCAGAACCATCTGTGATCTGGTTAAACACAGAATATTGGGACCCACCCCCAGAATTTCTGTTTCTGTGGTGAGAACCCTAGAATCTGCTTTTCTAACAGATTCCTAGGTGATGCTGATACTGCTGGTCCAGGGACACACTCCAGGAATCACCGATTTGAGAGACTATGTAGAGAGTTATGGCATAAATAGGAATTCTTGGTGACCTTGTCCTCTGCCTTTGTCTCCAGGCTTCCGTCCTGTTAGTCTCCCCTTGGGTATTCCGCTTCAGCAGCGTCAAACTGCCAGTAGGTCCTCAAAGGTGCCCTGTTGTCTGGCACTCCTCACCTATTGTTTGTGCAAATATCTTGATACACTCGCTATTTCTCTTACTGAGTTCCTTCCTCTCACTCGTCTGCCTGATGCGAAAGCCTGTTTATTCTTCCGGACTCAGCTTTCTTTATGTGGTGCCGCTGTGCTTCGCCGCTCAGTTGTGTCCGGTTTCTCTGCGACCCCACGGACCGTAGCCCACCAGGCTCTTCTGTCCATGGGGCTTCTCCAGGCAAGAATGCTGGAGTGGGTTGCCGTGCCCTCCTCCAGGGGATCTTCCCCACCCAGGTCTCCCGCACTTTAGGCAAATTCTGTCTTGTCTGAGCCACCAGGGAAATACAGAGGCTGCCGGAGGTCACGCGGAGCTGTGGGCACTCCCGCCACTGTCCTTTGGGGCCAACCTTGGGCCTGCTCTGAGGCGGTCTCTGGTAACCAACGTGTCAGGCTGCCTCTCCTCGAGGACTCTGGGGGTCTCTGGAGGGTCAACTTCCTTAATTTCCCAAAGATTCTTGACAAATCCTCCTGTGCCATCAGTCCACTTTGTATATACTTCTGTGGTAGTTATTGTGTCTTGAAGTGGACTTACACAGGCGTTGTTGCTCAAAATGAATTATTTGTGCTCTGCAGAGTGAGTGAGGGTGATTTAACGAGTGAGGGTGACTTTGTCTGTTGTAGCCGTTTACAAACACACATAGACCAGCCTGTGAACATCCTAGAGAGGGTCTGAGATGGAAGAGGAGACTCTACCATTCCCTCAGCGACTCTTACCTTCCTACCTCTTAGGATAGCTGTCTTCTCATGCTGAGGGTGATCCTAGTGTCAAACATACATATCTTTGTATAACATGAGCTTTAAACACAAGCCCACTACTTTATCTGGTCCCTCACTGAAGAATTAATGACACATTTTAATGTCAGAGGAAAAATTCACAGTAATGAACTTCTTGAAAGTTCAGTTCAGTTGCTCAGTCATGTCCAACTCTTTGCGACCCCATGGACTACAGCACACCAGGCCTCCCTGTCCATCACCAACTCCTGGAGCTTGCGCAAACTCATGTCCATTGAGTCGGTGATGCCATCCAACCATCTCATCCTCTGTCATCCCCTTCTCCTCTCACCTTCAATCTTCCCCAGCATCAGAGTCTTTTCAAATGTCAGTTCTTCACATCATGTAGCCAAAGTACTGGAGTTTCAGCTTCAACATCAGTCCTTCCAATGAATATTCAGGACTGATTTCCTTTAGGATGGACGAGTAAAACTCCTTGCAGTCCAAGGGACTCTCAAGAGTCTTCTCCAACACCACAGTTCACAAGCATCAATTCTTCAGCACTCAGCTTTCTTTATAGTCCAGCTCTCACATTCATACATGACCACTGGAAAAACCATAGCCTTGACTAGATGGGCCTTTGTTGGCAAAGTAATGTCTCTGCTTTTTAATATGCTATCTAGGTTGGTCATAAGTTTTCTTCCAAGGAGTAAGCGTCTTTTATTTCATGGCTACAGTCACCATCTGCAGTGATTTTGGAGCCCCCCCAAAATAAAATCTGTCACTGTTTCCACTGTTTCCCATCTATTAACCATGAAGTGATGGGACCAGATGCCATGATCTTAATTTTCTGAATGTTGAGCTTCAAGCCAACTTTTCACTCTCCTCTTTCACTTTCACCAAGAGGCTCTTTTGTTCTTCACTTTTTGCCATAAGGGTGGTGTTATCTGCATATCTGAGGTTATTGATATTTCTCCCAGCAATCTTGATTCTAGCTTGTGCTTCATCCACCCCAGCATTTCTCATGATGTACTCTATGTATAAGTTAAATAAGCAGGGTGACAATATATAGCCTTGACGTACTCCTTTCCTTATTTGGAACCAGTCTGTTAATCCGTGTCCGGTTCTGACTTGAAAGTTAGAACAACACTATACTTTATGACAGTTTTCAAGGATTTCAAGGGCTAGTTTTAATTAAATATGATTTCACATTATGGACTGACTGTAGGACCCCTCTCTCGTCTCACATTTCAGTTGAGATGTGAGCTCTTTGATTTTCAAAATCAGGCTCGTTTCTCAGGTGCAGGTCTTAAAAGTTGGGGTGCCTGATGTGGAGTTTGAACCCTCTGCTCCTCATGGGGCTGCTCTGGGTTTTGAGTTTCAGGGGTGACTGCTTCAGGGGTGGGGTTTATGGTGAGTTTGTGTCCCAACTTCTCCTACCTGTTTGAGGTGGTTTTCATCTTGTTTCCCCAATGTGTAGTCACCACTCAGCCAGCTTTTAGGCCTTTTTTTTTTTTGCTTTTAGGCTTCTTTACAAGGAAATGTTTCTATATGTAGCTGTGTGTGTCCATCGGAGGAGGCATGTTCAGGATCTTCCTAAGATGCCATCTGGCTGCAGGATGAGTCTTCATATAAAATATGTCTGTGTACATACATACACAGGCTTCCCTGGTGGCTCAGGTGGTTAAGAATCCACCTGCAGTGTGGTAAGCCTGGGTTCTATACCTGGGTTGGGAAGTTCCCCGGTGGTTAAGAATCCACCTGCAGTGTGGTAAGCCTGGGTTCTATACCTGGGTTGGGAAGTTCCCCAGGAGAAGGGATAGGCTACCCACTGCAGTATGCTTGGGCTCCCCTGGTGGCTCAGGTGGTTAAGAATCCACCTGCAGTGTGGTAAGCCTGGGTTCTGTACCTGGGTTGGGAAGACCACCTGGAGAAGGGCATGGCAACTCACTTCAATATTATTGTCTGGAGAATCCCTGTGGTTAGAGGAGGCTGGCAGGCTACAGCCCATGGGGTCACAAAGAGTTGGACACGACTGAGTGACTAAGTATACAGCACAGCACATACACATACATGTATATATTGTTGTTGTTAAGTCGCTCAGGCATGTCTGACTCTTTCACGACCCCATGGGCAGTAGCCCGCCAGGTTCTTCTGTTCATGGGATTTCCCAGGCAAGAATACTGGAGTGAGTTGCCATTTCCATCTCCAGGGGATCTTCCTGACCCAGGGATTGAATCTGCATCTCTTGTATTGCAGGCAGATTCTTTAGCTCTGAACCACCAGGAAAGTTACTCATATATATATATATATATATGAGTAACTTTCCTGGTTACTTTCCTGGTTACTTTCCACCCCCTTCTATACACACACACACACACACACACACACACACATATGTATGTATGTGTGTGTGTATATATATATACACACATACAAACACATAATAGGTATTTGTACATATACATATACACATATATTTCTAACTCCAATTTTATAACATCCTGATATTTATTAAATTTTAACTAATAGTGTATCTAGCAATCTCCTAGTAAAACTTGGAAGAATTGATGCTCTCCTCAGTACACTTACTACATGAGTATGCGGTTCATTGAAGGTGTCCTAAAATAAATTAATGTTCTGAAAAAGGGACCTGATTCTAAATCCGGAGGGCAAAATGAGAAAAGACACAGACAGTCCACCATATACTTGCTATGGAGTGATTTACCCGAAGTCACAGAGCCACTTATTGGCAAGCTGGTATTAAAACTCAAGACTCCTGACTGTAACTGACTGACTTTAAATAAAAGTTGGCAGCATTTAGTAATTACAGAGAAAAGCTCAGAAATGTTGTCTTTCACTCTCTCTTTTTTTTGCCACAGTGAATGGAATGGTGTTGAAATAGTCTTAAATGAAGAACACATTGTATTTAATTTTCTCCTTTTGGGTGAGGGAGACTTAGCTTTCATGGCTCCTGGGGATGAAAGAGACAACAGAAGTGTTATATCTTCTCTGATTCATTCTTCCCTAGTAATCCACCCCCTTCTAAGAGAGTAACGTTGCTTCACAGAGACCAGGGTATATTTCTTTCTAGTTCCGAAGAAACACAGAGATGAGTTGTTTTTGTTCAGTTGTTCAGTTGTGTCTGACTCTATGCGACCCCATGGACTGCAGCCTGCCAGGCTTCCCTGTCCTTCACCATCTCCTGGAGTTTGCTGAAACTCATGTCCATTGAGTTGATGATGCCATCCAACCATCTTATCCTCTGTTGCCCCTTCTCCTCCTGCCCTCAACCTTTTCTAGAGGTAAGAGGTGTATGCAAAGGAAGTTTCTGCCATAATATATCCTGACACTTATGGCATAAGTACATTTGGAAGGAAGGGTTCAGTGTGTTCCCTTACCTATAGTCAAGAGATTTCCAAGCTCCTAAGAGGAAAGATGTAACTAGTAAGAATACAGAACTTTGTGTAAGTATATATGCATACATGTAAGTATCAAGTCTTCTTGGAGCAGTGAGTTTCTGGTTTTTAAGACATTTCCACAAATTTCTTTTGCAGACCTTTTCAGAGGCAGTTAGATTTAATGTGGTCTATGGAGTTTTTGAAGTAGTTAACAATGCTCCACAGCTTCTGGAAAAGCAGTTGAAAAAAATTCTACTAAACCAGCGACCTCGAAATCCTATCTATGATGTTATAAGGAAAGGAAAGAGTGATGTTAAACCTGTTCAAGTGAATGCCCCTTACGAAGATGAGACCATTAATGTCAACTACAGTATCATGGTAAGAAAGTATATTTGAGTTATATCTTATTTGAGTTATATCTTACTGGATAAATAAAGCATTAAATGAGATTATCATCAGATTCCTTGGGCGTCCCTTTCTAAAATGTAACTGTATTTATTAAATTTTATTGTACTTAATATACAAAGTATTTGTCAGTAACTGTATCATCTTATTCATGTGAAATGACCAGTTTAGCAGTTTCTTGATATTTGATTATCAGTATGAGAAGGGTCATGTAATTTACTTTGAATATAAAGCAGTTGGGAATTGAGATTTCTGTTTTTTAATTATTAGTTTCAGGTGTATAGCATAGTGATTTGACATTTTTATGCATTGTGAAATGAGAACCACAGTAAGTCTACTTGCCGCCTGTCACTATTAAAAGTTATCACAGTATTATTGACTCTGTTCCCTACACTGTGCATTGCATCCCTGAGACTTGTTTTATAATTAGAAGATTGTACTGCTTAATTCCCTTCACCTATCTTGCCCATTCCCCCGTCCCCTTCCCTCTGGCAACCACTGGTTTGTTCTCTATGATTCTGTTTCTGTAGTGTTATGTTTGTTAGTTTGCTATATTTTAGATTCCACATATAAGTGAAATCATATCACATTTGTCTTTCTCTGTTTAAATTTCACTTAGCATAATATACCTTTTAGGTCCATCCATGGTTGTTGCAAATGGCAAGATTTCATTCTTATTTGTGGCCTCATCTTCTCTATCCATTCATCTATCAGTGGCTATTTAGGTTGCTTTCCTATCTTGGTTATTGTAAATAATGATACAGTGAACTTGGGGTACCTATATCTTTTTTAATTTGAGGGTTTTTTTCTTCAGGTAAATACCCAGAGGTGGAATTGCTGGATCATATAGTAGTTCTAGTTGTAATTTTTGAGGAAACTCCATGCTATTTTCCACAGTTGGTTGTACCAATTTACATTACCACCAACAGTGCACAAGAGTTCCCTTTTCTCCATATCCTCACCGATACTTTGTTGTCTTTTTGAAAATAGCTACTCTGACAGGTGTGAGATGATATCTCATTGTGGTTTTGATTTGCATTTCCCTTACAATTAGTGATCTTAAGCATCTTTTCATGTGCTTGTTGGCCATCTGTATGTCTTATCTGGAAAAATGTCTGTTAAGTTCCTTAACCAATTTTTAAAATTGGATTTTTTTTTTTTTTTGCTGTTAAGTTGTATGAGTTCTTCATATATTTTGGATATTAACCCCTTATCAGATGTATCATTTCCAAATGGCTTCTTTCATTCAGGAAGTTGCCTTTTTGTTTTGTTGAGGGTTTCTTTCGCTGTACAAGACTTTTTAGTTTGATGTAGTCACGTTTGCTTACCTGTTGCCCTTGTCTGAGGAGACAGATCCAAAATAAAAATGTTGCTAAGATCAGTTTCAGAGAGCATATTGCCTATGTTTTCTTTTAGGAGTTTTATGGATTCAGGTCTTACATTTAAGTCTTTAATCCATTTATTTTCGTATATGCGGTAAGAAAGTGGTCTAGTTTTTTCCTTTTGCATATAGCTGTCCAGTTTTTTAAGCACCATTTATTGAAGAGATTGTCTTTCCCCCATTGTATAGCCTTGTCTCTTTTGTCATAGATTAATTGACCACAGAACTGTGGATTTATTTCTGGGCTCCCTATTCTGTTCCGTTGATCTATATGTCTGGTTTTTTTTTTTTTTTTGACAATGACAATGATAGGAAGAGCTGACATTAGGATCAAAAAGCGATCTCGCTATGAATGCTTGGCCGCCACAATCCAGTTATCCCTGTGGTAACTTTTCTGACACCTCCTGCTTAAAACCCCAAAGGTCAGAAGGATCGTGAGGCCCTGCTTTCATGGTCTGTATTTGTATTAAAAATCAGGATCAAGCGAGCTTTACCCTTCTGCTCCACAGGAGGTTTCTGTCCTCTCTGAGCTCGCCTTAGGACGCCTGTGTGACGGTTTGCGGGGTGTACCGCCCCCGTCAAACTCCCCATCTGGCACTGTCCCTGCAGAGGGTTGCTCCTGGCCAATGCGGCTGGGTGCTAGGTGCCAGAACTGGGAGACCCTCAGGGCTTGCAGTAGCATCCTGCTTTAATTAATATATAGCTTTATAGTATGGTTTGAAATCAGGGAACATAATACCTCCTGCTTTGCTGTTCTTCCTTAAGATTGCTTTGGATATTTGGGGTCTTTTGTGGTTTTATATAAACTGTGTGTGTGTGTGTGCTCAGTCACCCAGTCATGTCCGGCTCTTTGCGACCCCATGGTCTGTAGCTAGCCTCCTCTGTCCGTGGAGTTTCCCAGGCAAGCATACTGGAGCTGGTTGCCATTTCCTACTCCAGGGGATCTTCCCTCCCCAGGGATCAAACTTACAGTTTCTGCATTGGCATTACAAATTATAGAATTATTCTAGTTCTGGGGAAAATGCCATGAGTGTTTGGCTAGGGATTGTATTGAATCTTTAGAATAATTTGTAGAATGTACATTTTAACAGTAATAATTCTTCCCATCCACAGGCATGGTGTATCTTTCCATATATTTGTTCATCTTTAATTTCTTTCATCAGTATCTTATAGTTTTCAGACTACAGGTCTTTCACCTCCTTAGTTAAATTTATTCTTGTGTATTTTATTCTTTTTGATGCAGTCATAAATGTGGTTGTTTTCTTAATTTTTCTTTCTGGTGGTTCGTTATTAGAGTATAGAAATGCAACATATTTCTGTATATTAATTTTACATCCTGCAACTTTACCAAATTCATTTGTTTTAATAATTTTTGATAGTCTTTGTACTCAGTCATGTCTGACTCTTTGTGACCGCATGGACTGCAGCTTACCAGGCTCTTCTATCCATGGAACTTTCCAGGCAAGAATACTGGAATGGGTTGCCATTTCCTACTCCAGATTTGATAGTCTATAGGGTTTTCTATATATAGTTTCATGTCATCTGCAAATAGTGACTGTTTTACTTCTTTTTTTCCAGTTTGAATGTCTTTTACTTTTTTCTAGTTTGATTGCTGTGGCTAGGAGTTTGAACATCATGTTGAATAAAAGTGGTTAAGAGTGGATATCCTTCTCTTGTTCCTGATCTTAGAGGAAAATTTTTCAGCTTTTCACCACCGACTATGATGTTAGCTGTGCGTTTGTCACCTGGCCTTTATTATGTTAACATATGTTCCCTCTCTGCCTACTTTGTTGACAATTTTTTAAATCATAAATGGATGTTGAATTTTGTCAAATGCTTTTTCTGTATCTATTGAGATGATCTTATGATTTTTATTAATTTTTAATATGGTGTATCACATTGATTTGTCGATATTGAACCTCCTTGCATCTCTGGGATAAATCCCACTTGATCTGATTTATTGTTCTTTTAATGTGTTGTTGAATTCAGATGTTATGTTTTTATTTATTTGTTTGTTTATTTTTGGCTGCACTGGGTCTTTGTTCTGCATGCAGTCTTTCTGTATTTGCTGTGAGTAGGGTTACCATTCATTGAGATGTGTGGACTTCTCATATGGTGGTTTCTCTGGTTGCAGGGCACAGGCTCTAGGTATGCAGGCTTCGGTAGCTGTAACGTGTGAGTTCAGCAGTTGTCGCATGTCGGCCCTAGAGTGCAGGCTCCGTAGTTGTGGGGCACAGGCTTCGCTGCTCTGCGAAATGTGGAATCCTCTTAGACCAGGGATCAAACTTAGCTCCTCTGCATTGGAAGGCGGATTTCTATCCATTGTATCACCATGGAAGTCCCATCCATTATGTTTTATTGGATCTGTTTGCATCTTTTGTAATCAGGTAAATTGGTTTGTAATTATCTATCTTTCTTTTTGGTTTTGGTATCAGGGTAGTGCTAGCCTTGTAGGGTGAGTTTGGAGGTATTCCTCTTCAATTTTCCAAAACAGTTTTCGAAGGATAGGTGTTAACTTTTAAAAAAATGTTTGGTAGAATTCCCCTGTGAAGGCTTCTGATCTTGCACTTTTGTTTTTTGGGAGTTTTTTTTTTTTTAAATCACTGTAATTTGTCTGTTAAGATTTTCTATTTCTTCATAGAAGATTTTTTGTTTTTAGGGACTTATCCATCTCTTCTAGATTGTCCAGTTGTTGACAAATAATTGTTTATACTAGTCTCTTATGATTCTATTCTGTGATATTGGTTGTAACTTCTCTTTTCTGATTTTATGTATTTGGAACCTCTTATTTCTTGATGAGTTTGGATAAAGGTTTATCAGTTTTATCTTTTCAAAAAAATGGCTCTTCATTACCCTTTGTTTTAGTCTCTATTTCATGTATTTCTGCTTTGATATTTATTATTTTCTTCCTTGTCCAACTTCGAGCTTCGTTTTCTACTGTGGCGCATAGTAGGTGAGATTGGAGCACTCCTTTGTGAGAGAAGCCCCTGAGTTTTCCTCTTCTGTAGTTGTTCACCTGTGAGTGTGCTGTATTGTGTTACCTTTCACCTGTCATGCTGGCTCCCAGATTACACTGTTGTTGGAACTGCTCTTAGCACCCTGCCCCCCAGCTTAACTGTTGGTTTGCCACCAATTGGCCCTGGTGTCTCTCCTGCGTTTTTTCCAGGCCACCTGTGTGAATCCGCCAAAGTCAGGTCCCAGGACTGCAGTAGTCGTGTACCTGGACCCTCTGTGGTAGTTATGGAGGCAGCTCAGATTTTGGCCTGGCCCAGTCTCTGTGTGTTTGTGCCCACAAAGCCCACAGCTGCTGAAACTAGTCCCGCTGAGCTGTGTGAGTGCTCATCCATTCAGACACTCCGCAGGCATTGGGTTCACAACACTGATAGTGAGGGTGTATGTGAATCTGCAGCTCCTATAGCCATGAGGAGAGACTTCACCTCTTCTGTTTTAGTTGCATGGCCCCTGCGGCTTGGCTTGATTTCAGCCCCACCTCTGCACATGTTCCTCTGAAGGCTGGCCCAGAGCATATCTGCCCTGCCCAGGTAGGCAGGGGCAGAGGTGACGATGGGCGGGCATGCGAGCCTGCTCTGGGAGGTGCCCCTCCTGGTATCCAGGCTTGGCTTGATTTCAGCCCCACCTCTGCACATGTTCCTCTGAAGGCTGGCCCAGAGCATATCTGCCCTGCCCAGGTAGGCAGGGGCAGAGGTGGTGATGGGCGGGCATGCGAGCCTGCTCTGGGAGGTGCCCCTCCTGGTATCCATGGAGACAGGGGTGCATGGGGAAGGGGACTGAAATGGCAGTCCCCATCCTGTGGGTCACTCAGCAGTGGTGCCCTGCTTCTTTGGCGGCCCAGGCTTCTTCCATGAACATTCCCAATTGTGGAGCTCCTTACTCCCATCCTTGCGGACTGTCTCTTCACAGCCAACAACTGTCTCCTCCCTGTGTCCACTCTCCAAACCCCACATTCCAGCACCCAGCCCCTCTCCACATCCACAGACACACAGTTCAGGCTGGAGCATGCAGGGCTGCAGAACGGAACATCCGTGTAGGTCTTAATCTGTCCTACCTGTCACAGACCAGTTCTGTGCTTTCCTTCAAGCTCCTTTCCAGAAGTTCCCCCTCTGTCCCAGCTGATCTGCCCACTGGTGAGGGGGCTTCCCTGAGTGCGGGAACCTCTTCTCTCCTCCAGCTCCCCACCAGGGGTGCAGGTACCCTTCTGTTTCTTTTTTTCTTTTTCACTTTCTTAAGTCCTACCCAGTCGTGTGAAGATTTTTCCTGTCCTTTTAGGTGTCCAAGGTCCTCTGCTAGTGTACAGCAGGCACTCTGAGAATTGCTCCATTTGTAGATGTGTTCTTGATGTACTTGTGGGGAGAGGTGAACTCCACATCATTCTATTCTGTCATCTTGACTCCATCCCCATCTCAATCATGTTCTGTGGAAACCTTGTTGGTTTTCATGCCTGTGTGGCCTCTTACAGAATTCTGAACTTAGCAACCTGTTCAGTTGCTAAGTCGTGTCTGACTCTTTGCAACCCCATGGTCTGCAGCACGCCAGGCTTCCCTGTTCTTCACTATCTCCCAGAGTTTGCTCAGACTCATGTCCATTGAGCTGATGATGCCATCCAACCATCTCATCCTCCATTGAGAGCGCAGGGTCTTAGCCACTAGACCACCAGGGAAGTCCCCTGTGTGTGATTATTTTTAACCTGTTTTATAACTGTGAAAGTACCGAGACTGATTGATTTTTTTTTTTTGTCATTTTTCCTCTTTCAGTAAGTTACTTACGTTTTCTGATTCACTTTGGTAGTCTGTAAAATGTAGATAATAATTGATATAGGTTTGTTGAGAGAATTAATGAAGTACCAGCAGACAAAGTGGCTTCAAACTTGAGAATCGGGGTTCTTATTCTCTCCTGTCCAAACAGAAGGTAGAGGCAGAGTTCCCTATAAGAGCTAGAGGTAACACTGCTGTAGTGATTAGACCATCATTGTTCTAACAGGTGATTTTCCATGATACTTTCTTTTTCACTTGTCTTCTGACAGTGTCTCAGTCGTGAACAAGGTATTCACTGGGTCAAAAAAGAAAGACTTCCAACATTTCTGGAAAGTGATTGTTACTTTGAATACAGGTATTGTAATCTCATCAGTATACATATATTTTAAATGATTTTTTTCAGCAAAAATCATTTTTATTTACTTTCTTAATAAAATTGTGTACCTTTAACCCCATTGGAGTTTGTACTTTGGTTACTATGTAGTATATCATAGAGCATTGGTAAAAATTGCTTAACATTTCCAAAGAGATTTCATAGAAACAGTACCTAATAAATGTACTTCAATTCTGCTTCTTTGATCATTATATTTACATTTTTTTCCTACTTCTATAAAGGTATTTATGTTCAGGGTGATAAAAAATGAATATGAATGCCATAAAAAAGACAGAATGTTCTAGCACAGGGCCAACTAACAGGTGATTTTCCATGATACTTTCTTTTTCACTTGTCTTCTGACAGTGTCTCAGTCGTGAACAAGGTATTCACTGGGTCAAAAAAGAAAGACTTCCAACATTTCTGGAAAGTGATTGTTACTTTGAATACAGGTATTGTAATCTCATCAGTATACATATATTTTAAATGATTTTTTTCAGCAAAAATCATTTTTATTTACTTTCTTAATAAAATTATGTACCTTTAACCCCATTGGAATTTGTACTTTGGTTACTATGTAGTATAACATAGAGCATTGGTAAAAATTGCTTAACATTTCCAAAGAGATTTCATAGAAACAGTACCTAATAAATGTACTTCAATTCTGCTTCTTTGATCATTATATTTACATTTTTTTCCTACTTCTATAAAGGTATTTATGTTCAGGGTGATAAAAAATGAATATGAATGCCATAAAAAAGACAGAATGTTCTAGCACAGGGCCACGTTTTTCTTTTATGCTCCCTGACTTTTAAAGTTTAAGTTCCTAAACAGCCTGAAATTTTACTAAAATTTGACCCTTTCTTAGAACAACCATTTTCTAAAATACAATAAAACAGAATAATTATTAATTAATTAGTGATCCTATGAATAAGCCATTAATTTTATCAGCTCCTAAGAGAATCAGTCTGCAAAGCTAGGAGGGGAAATTGATTTGAATACATAAAAAAATTTTTAGTTTTTATTCTGAATTCTACCATATTTGAAATTTATTTCAATTTGTATGATTTCTGAAATACAGGTTAGCCAAATTGATTTCACAAGTAAGATGGAGTGAATCTGGCATGAATATCATATTAGGTACAGAGTTTTCACCCTGGGTCCTGAAAAAACCACCCAGTCCACCACCTCCTCCTGTTGAAGAAGATGATGTTATAATTATGAAAAAGTTCTACATTTCTCTGGGCGAGGTAAAAGTCTTGAGTGTTTCTTTGTGACTTGACACTTTGGTGAGACTTGTCTTTTTAGAGACATGATGTTCATTTGAATAAGAAAATGTTTTAAAATACTTCCAAAGTAGATTTAGCAGAAATTCTTTTGGATTTATGCTGTCTTATTTGCCCACACTCTTTCACCTGAAATGTAATTAGAATTATTATTGTCATGTGTACAAAGGAAAATGGAAAATTGAAGAGCATGCCCACTGTCACATGGGAAGTAAGGCTTTCATTGTTCATTCCAATTTTTTCATTATTTAGAATCTACAATATTTGTACAAAGCAATGATAAATTGGATCTTCTCCTCCCTATTGTCAAGATTATTCTTTAGTAATAAAATGCATTACTGTTTAACTATTACCAAGTATAAATTTGCCCTCCACAATTAGAGATTGTTGGGTAGTATAAGTACATATGAAGAAATCTAACCCAGAATCAAATGTCCTTTTGAAGAACCGTAGTATAGTGAAAATTGTTGTTAGATCTTTGCCTTTATCAGGGAGGGAACCTTTTCATTCTACCCTTGTCGGTTCTTTGGCTGGTCTAATAAAAAAAATTGATATAAGTTACAGGCAAAAAAAAAAAGGTAATTTAGTTATGTACAGGAGCCCTTTAAGAATATGAGACCTGAAACAAGTTGGGCAGTTGAGCTCTCCTGAGCCTGGGAATGGGATAAGGGCCTGGGGCTTCAGAGGGGAACAGGGTAAGTCACAGGACTGTAAGAAGACCAGATGTTTACTAATTAGACGTTTGCCTGCCCCTGCCATAGAGGTAGGTGTCATTCACATAAAAGTTATCTCTGGTACTGACTCTCTCTGAGCCTGGCCCTGTAACTAAATTCTTGTAGGTAGTTAAAGCAGAGGTGAATGTTTTTCCTGACTCTACTGGGTCAAGGAATCCTTCAGCTCACAATAATCCAGGTCATGGCATATTTCGGGGTCACTTATCCTGCTTCTCTTTACCTTCTAATCGTCAGATCTTCTCTCTGGGAACACGTTTCCAATATACAATTCTTCACAAAACCAGGAACTGCAAATATGTTACCCATGTGTTGCTATTGTCCTAGTTTATATTCATGACAGATATTGCTAATCAATCATGGCAATTTTCCTGCTGAGCTAGGACTTGGCTCTAAACTCTTTTCAACACAGCCTTCTAGGCAGGCACTTCCAATTGATCAAAGATGTCATTCAAGAGGAAAACATCTCTGTTGGAATGGATATCCCTACCCTATCTTTTTGAACATTTCTTTTTCATGTGTAAGCTCCTATATAATTTTGTAGTTTGACAGTTCTATCAGCAATATTTGGCAAAAATGTTAAAAAAGTATGCCAGTCCCATTATTTCCTCTGAATAATGCTCAGGGATGTACTAAAGTCACCTTTTTCTTTTCTCTTATATTTATTTTTCAGTATTTATTTTTTCTCTTAACATATGTGTTCTAATAATGTTAGGGATTTCAAAAACATGTACTAATGGTAGAAATCCATAAACATACAAAGGAAAGAATCAATCTAGGGGAATAAGTTCTGATTCCTTACATGTAAATTGAATCGAATATAAGAAAATAAAAATTCAAGCTACTTTACTTTTACTATTTTCTGTGATGGAAAAAAACTCATTTCTGTCAACTTACATAATATCTGAATTATATATTTCTTTTTAATAACCTTTGAACTTGAGTGTTCAATTTTGGGGGCTGTTAAATCATTAAACCATGACTATAGATAGGTTTTAATCCTTATGATAATTAGTAATATTTCTTTGTCTTCAGTTATACCATCTAAACACAAACAATTGACCCATCTTTTAAGAATATAAAGTAGAATAGTTAACTGTTATTATATTTGGCTGACTACTTCTATCTTCTGCTCTCTTATCTTTCTGTGTAGTTGATTTAATGACTCTTGTGAAAGTGAAGTCGCCCAGTTGTATCTGACTCTTTGCAACCCCATGGACTGTAGCCTACCAGGCTCCTCCATCCATGGGATATTCTAGGCAAGAATACTGGAGTGGGTTGCCATTTCCTTCTCCAGGAGATCTTCCCAACCCAGGGATTGAACCCGGGTCTCCCACGTTTTAGGGCAGACGCTTTACCATCTGAGCCACCAGGCAAGTCTCAAATCAAGACATGACTCTTGTATGTTGGTCTTAGTTCCTTGATAGTCCCTTAATTATGTTGGTCTTCTCTCGGTGCTTCTAGCACTTGGAACAGAGTAGTCATTTAATAAATATTTTGAATGAATATACTTAGTAGTAGATGATTTGGTTTTAGAGAAAGAAAAAGAAGAAACAAGAGGAAATTAGATTCAAAGCTACTACCTACCTTACTTCTAAAAGGGACAGTACTACACCATTGCACCTGGTGTTTCTGTCTCTTGCCTTTGGTCTCGTTGTGTGGCCTGACTTGCCCTGCTAATTCTCCATAATAGTCAGGGAACAGTTCTATTCCCTTTGAGCCTTGTCTCCTCTGTAAGTGTTCCTTAGGCTAAGATGACTTAGTTGGAAAAAGGAGAAGTGAAAGTAATGCTAGACACTCCCTACTCTGCTTCTGAAGTTGGATTATCCTAGAAAAGTGAGTGAGGACATTTCTAAGAGAAGTGGAAAGAAGAATCTTCCCAGGGCATCTGAGATAGAGTTTCTTAGGACTGGGGCTTTTGAAGCTGCATGTCAGGTTGAGAATTGGATCAGCTGACTCAGGAGTACATAAAAGAAAGGAAAAACTGAAGACTCCATCCAGGGGCAGGTGAGTCAGAAATCATCATCCTTCAGGAAGCATCCCATCCAAGCAAAGTTTCGAAAACAGAATCTAAGGTAAAGGGGAAGTTGAACGTGGAGAGGTTTCCAGTGCTACTGAGAGTAAGTTTTTGTCATATTAAGGAGGAATTGTTAAAAACACTGAGCCTGGCCAGATGGAACTGGGGGCATGAAATCATTGAGAAGGTTGTAAATGGGAGCAGCTGACAAAAGATGCGCCCAAAGACTGATGAGCTATGGAGACTGCCAAGTTAACTTAGATGGCGGGAATTTGTAGTGAATCCAGGAAGTAGGGTTGCATGCTTCTGATGGAGGAGTGAAGAATTTGATGGTATTGGGCTTCTTTTTTTTTACCTTTGATCATCTAATATGAAAATAATCTGAATTGAAATTTCCTTATCATTATTCTCAGCTAATGAATTTTTCTGTGTACAATATTCTTTTCTTTCACAGCATAATTTTTCCTTTACATATTGTACTGTACAAATTAAATATTATCATAATGATTTATCCAGATTCATGATTGGAAGAATACTGCTAATCTTGGTTAAACAAATGTGCTCCTTTCTTCCTAGGCCTCCTATACTCAAACAAAAGATTGGTTTGCCTTAGCAAAACAATGTCAGCAAACAGCACCAACCTTTTCATTACCATCTTGTGTGTTCCACGACAAAATTGACTCACCAGTTGTTTCATCTGTTTCTGGTAAGCGGAAAAGGACAAGGATAAGATTGACCTCAGAACTCCTTTTTACATCTTTTGTTGTTGTTATTCTAAACTTACAATACAACACTTAGTGGATAGGGAAAAAAAATGTTATCTCCTGCAACTCCAGTTTCTACTGTTTTTTGAGAGACAACCTGGTATAGTGAAAAGAAGAGGGGTTTAGAACCCAACTCTGATACTGATTAGTTTGTGACTTTTGCAAATTATTCCACTTCTGGTAGCCTTGCTTTTGTCATCTGTAAGATTAAACTAATGATGCATACATATTGAATATATAAAATGTTTAGTGCTTGGTACCTGATAGACAGTCAATAAATGTTTGGTTTATCACTATTTCCTATTACAGTTTACAAATTCTTATTATTAAGAATTTGAAATAAAGTGGGTACAACCTTTCTGTCCTCCCAAAAGTAAATAGTGATTTATGGAACTTGAATTATCCTACTGTTTTTAAGTTCAGACTATTTTTCACCTTGAAAAGCAGATAAATTTCTACCGTGGGTGGGTGAACTTTGGTGGATGACAGAAACTTTTCATAAATGAAGGGGACCTTCCAGAAACGGTCCAGAAAGGACTTCCCTGGTGTCTCAGACGGTAAAGTGTCTGCCTACAATGCAGGAGACCTGGGTTCGATCGCTGGGTTGGGGAGATCCTCTGGAGAAGGAAATGGCAACCCACTCCAGTACTCTTGAATAGAAAATCCCATGGACGGAGGAGCCTGGTAAGCTACAGTCCATGTGGTCGCAAAGAGTCGGACACGACTGAGCTACTTCACCTTACCATACCTTACCTTACCTTACCTCCAGAAACGGTAGTAATTAACATGTGATATTGCTAGAGGGGTAAAAAAAAATCTAGCAATGTGATTCAGGAAGGGAATTCTGCAATTCACTAAATTATTGCACAGTTCCTTTGATAAGTATCAGAAACCTCTGGGGGTGATAAATCTGGAGTCTCTAGAATTGAACCTAAATCTAGGTAAAGAGGGAAATCATCTTTCTAACTGGAAATTATGGAATTTATAGATGTCTTACTGTTGCCTCCAAATAGTGAAGTAGAAAATTGGAGAGTGAAGTTAGTGAACAGAAAGAGAAAGGATACCAGGAAGGCAGTGAGCAGAAGTGCCTCCATGTTTGTGGGGTTGAGCGTATACCCACTATCCTTTCACAGGTCTACAAAAGTCTAATCTCAATTTTAGGGAAATTTATTATACATATTTTTGATTAAAATTATGAAACATTTTCAGTTTATTGAGATTTGAAATCTATTATTGAGAAAATTGAGGTTGGGACACATGAATCAGGGTTTTCCTGATCCATGGCTTTGCAAGCAGTAGATTTGCCATGTGAAATAAAGCACAGACATCAGATATTTCACTGATATCTGAAAGACTAAAAAAAAAATAAGGGNGAGTCTTCTCCAACACCACAGTTCAAAAGCATCAATTCTTCGGTGCTCAGCTTTCTTTATAGTCCAACTCTCACATCCATACATGACCACTGGAAAAACCATAGCCTTGACTAGATGGACCTTTGTTGACAAAGTAATGTCTCTTCTTTCTAATATGCTGCCTAGGTTGGTCATAACTTCCCTTCCAAGAAATAAGTATCTTTTAATTTCATGGCCACAATCACCATCTGTGGTGATTTATAACATCTAGTTAACAAGTAAAAGAAAACTTTTACATTCATATCTGATCTAATAGCCTTTTATGATTTAATACAGAGAGTTTTATCTTCGATGATGGAGTCCACCCCAGGACAAAAAAGGGCCTATTAAAAACCACTAGATTAATCTCCGAATTTGAAGAAGATGGGTCTGTATCTCTACAGGACACTCCTTCTCAAGCTCTTCTGAGGATATACCTTGAAAAGCAACAGAGTGCCGATAAAAGTCTGACACTGCACTTCTCAACATGTGACGAGTTTTTAAGATCTTATGTCTCCTTTATTTTGAGAGTGGCGATTCATCAAATTCTTGGAGCAACACTTAGAGAAAGCCCAGATTATGTAAATTTCAGAAACGTAACAGAAGTGGTATTTGATGACATTGGGGGGCCTACCTCTGGCAAGAATGTTTTGCTTAGTGAAATGCCAAGGGAAAAGTCGGAAGATGTGTTAGAACAAGCAATTTCAAAACCTGAGAGCGTTGGACAAGACAGCAGGGCTGATTGGTGTATTTCTCACAAAATGTATGACATTGGCAATAGAAAGGAGTTTGAAAGATTTAAGAAATTTTTAAAAGGTACCTTAGGGGAGAAATATTGGTGGCTATGGATGGATATTGAGAGGTTAAAAGTTCTTAAGAATCCTGGAAGACATCAAAGGTATTTCTTTTTTTTTTCAATAGTTTTAACATCAAATTATAGAATATTAGTTTGGGTCATTTAAGCACAGACAAAAGGCCTGGAATAAATATATAAATGTAATTTATACTTTTATAAGAATTAATAATAAGACTTATTTTATTATAATAAGATTGATTTACATAAAAGATACCTTATGCCAGTGTAAGGGCCTGGCTGTTCCTGGCAGCCCGCTCAGTTAACAAATTCTGTGGTCTTTAGTCAGAAGCCACTTAGACATATCTGAATGAGATATCTGCTGGATATGATGCTGGATGTTCTTGAGAGAGCCTCTTAGGTCTGACGGGGCATGGGTCTTTGTTTGGCTGCTCCATATGTGTTAGGTCACTGTAAGTCTTATGAACCTTGGAGGACCTTGTTTTGCCTCCTTACCTTGTCTGTGTTCTCCTTATCTGCTCTGAACTCTGAAGTAGACTGCAATCCCCATTAAAGGTTTGACTGAGTAAATACTGGAGACTGGGTTATTCCAGTTACTTGGAAGCATTCAGATCACAAAGCTCATTGTACATAGTTATAAGAGTAGGGGTTACCAAATGGTTGATTATGAAGCATGACCTAATTGATCCTGGGATGGAAGGCTGCTACCACTTTCCAAGACATGTTAGGGAAAGGATATACAGTCAACCTACATAGGTTCTTCAGAGTCAATACTTTATTAGTTCCTATTGTTGCTGTCATTAATTGCCACACACTCAGTGGCTTGAAGCAACATAAATTAATTTTCTTCCGATTAAAAGGTCAGAAGTCTAAATGGGTCTGCAGGCCTGCATTCTTTCTGGGCACTCTAGGGGAGAATCCATTTCCTTTCCTTTTCCTGCTTCTGAGGCCATCTGCTTTCCTTGGCTCAGGGCCCCTTCCTCTGTCTTCAGAGCCAGCAGAATGACGTCTTTTCTCCTCTCTGATCTCTGCTTCTGTCCTCCTATCTTTCCTCTATGACTGTTAACCCTCCTGCCTCCTTCTTAGAAGGATTGTTAATGATTACATTAGCACCAGCTAGACAGCCCAGGATAATCTCCTCAAAACCCTAATCACCTCTGCAGAGTCCCTTCTGTCATGTAAGATCACATTCTTAGGTTCTGGAGATGAGGGTGTGGATATCTTAGCAAGGCCATTGTTCAGCTGACCAAAACTATCCTTCCCATTCCCATACCTGTGAGAACTATTTTTATCTTCACATTGCTACTCCTGTAACTCACTTTTGGTTCTTTATTCAGTTGCTCAGTTATGGTCCGACTCTTTGTGACCCCACTTTTGGTTCTAAGATAGTTAGTTCATTACTTGCCTGAAACATTTTGGAAGTGAAAATATTTGGCTAGTTGAATACTGTGTCAACATGTATGTGTGTGCCTATTTGTGTATGTGTTTTATTTCAGACATATTGAAAAGATGAAAAAATGCTTTCTAGTGAGCAGTGGAGATTACTACCTTTCTGCAGAAGTCTTATCAAAATTTAAACTACTAGATGGATCTCAGTGGAATGAAGAACACTTAAAAAAAATTCAGACTGAGGTTGTAAAACCCTTACTTCTTTATTGGTAAGAAAAATAATGAGAATCAAATGTTATTTGCTTTCACTTTTCTTAAGCTAGTTACAGGTTATACTTTTTGTCTTAAGGATATATGACTTATGGGAATTTTAAATGACAAGATTGTCATATTATCTTCAGGCTTCTTTAAAGTACCTATCCTTTAGATAATGTTGGTGTTTGAGGGGCTTGCAGTTCAGTTCTGTCGCTCAGTTGTGTCGACTCTTTGCGACCTGATGGACTGCAGCACTCCAGGCTTCCCTGTCCATCACCAACTCCTGGAGCTTACTCAGACTCATGTCCATCAAGTCGGTGATGCCATCCAACCATCTCATCCTCTGTCATCCCCTTCTCCTCCTGCCTTCAATCTTTCCCAGCATCAGGGTCTTTTCCAATGAGTCAGNATGTGCATACATGTGCAATAGATCGAGTTAGATTTATCATCTCAATAAACATTCCATGAACACTTCCTATGAGCCAAGTGCTGTGCTAAGGGTCCAAGGGTAAAACACAGTCAAGTCTAGTGATCCTAGTCCAGTGGGAGGAACCTGCATGTGAAACGAGTGTACTAAAAGCAAGTGTGGTGGATGCGCAGGACACAGAGGAGAGGTAGTATTTCACCTGGGTATAAGCATGGAGAAGAGAATGGGCCTCGTGAAGATGTGTGCCATCTGAGGATCAGTGAGCTGTCCGCTGTGGCCGTGATCGGTCTGCTGATGTTACTCCCCTGCTGTAAGGCTTTCAGTAGTTACTCCCAAGCTTTCAGTGTAAGGTTCAAATTCCTTAAGTTAACAAATAAGGTCATCATGATTTGTCCCTTGCCTCTGTCTCCCAATTATCTCCCATCTAGGTATTTCAGATTACTTGTGTACTTTGTATTTTCCCATATATAGAGAGAATTTTGTTTTTCTCTGTATAAATTTCTGTTCTTAAATATTTAAGAAAGGCCGAAAGGTATAAATTATACTATAATATGCACCTATATATACACACACCACCCAGCTTAAAAAACATTACGAATATAGTAGAAGCTTTTCTTTTCTTAGTTTAACTTTTTTGTTTTGAGAGAATGATAGATTCATATGAAGTTGTAAGAAATTACACAAAGATTCTGTATACCTATTACCCAGTTCCCCACCTCCCCCCCACCACCAGTGGTAACATCTTGCTTAACTGTAGTACAATATTGCAGTGATGGAATTGACATTGATAAAGCTCAACAATCTTTTTTCATATTTTTCCAGTTTCTCATAATTTATTTCTCTGTATATAGTTTTGTCTCATGCACTTGCCGTTACAGTCAAGATACAGAGCAGTTACATTAGCACATGCGTACCTTTGTGTTGCTCTCATAACCATGCCTGCCTCTTACCTTCCCCCTTTCTCATAATTACTGGAAAACTGCTCATCTATTATGTAAATGAAATAATGTAATATGTAATCTTTTGGGATTATTTTTTCATTCAGGATAATTTCTTTGAGATGTGTCCAAGTTGTTTTGTTCTTCTTCATTACTGTCTAGTATTCTGTCGTGTGGATGTTACACATTCAGGCTCCCATTGAGAGACGTTAGGATTGTTCTCAGTCTTTTGATATTAGTAATAAAGCTGCTGTGAACATTCATGTACAGATTTCTGCATGAACATAAATCTTCCTTTCTCTGGAATTAAAGTCCAGGAAAGAGAGTAGTGGGTCATATAATCTGTTTTTAGTTTCAGTAGTGTTACTGTCTGAATGACTCTTTATGACCCCATAGACCGTAGCCTGACAGGTTCCTCTGTCTGTGGAATTCTCCAGGCAAGAATATGGGAGTGGGTTGCCATTCCCTTCTCCAGGGGACCTTCCCGCCCGAGGGATCACACCTGGGTCTCCCGTGTTTCAGGCAGGTTCTTTACTGTCCGAGCCGCTGGGGAAGCCAGGACATGGCCGCCCGCTCCAGCACTCTCCCCTCGAGAATGCCGTGGCCAGAGGAGCCTGGCGGCCTGCGGCCCAGCGGGTCACACAGGCGGCCGTGGCTGAGGGGCTAGCACTTTCACTTTCGTGGATTATGCCCATGGTGTCAAACCTGAGAACGCTTTGCCCAGTGCTATATTCGGAAGATTTTCTCCTGTGCTGTTCTTAAAAATCTTACAATTCTATGTTTTAATTTAAGTCCATGGCCTGTTTGGAGTTAATTTTTATATAGGGTGTGAGGTTTAGGTCAAGGTTCAGTTGTTTTTTTTTTCTTTCTTATGGATATCCAGTTGCTCATCCTCATTTGTTGAAAAGGCTGTTTTTCCTCTTCTTTTCTATGTTTTACATTAACATACAGTAAAAGCAAACTGTATAGATTCACATAATCACCATGACAGTCAGCGTACAAACATCACCTTAGGAAACTCTCAGAGCACCCTTCTGTCATCAGACTCTTCCTCCTCTCTTCACCCCGGCAGCCACTGATCTGTTCTTTGTCGCTATGTTTTTGTCTTTTTTTAGAATGCCATGTAATTATACAGGATTAACTTTTTGAGACTGACTTCTGTCGGTCAACATACTGCCGCTGAAGCGTAATGCATCCAAATTGTTGCACCTGTTGTGGTTCGTCCTTTTTGTTATTTTGACTTTCCAGTTGTTCATTGTTGGTAAGTTGAAATGTGACTGACATGTGTGTGCACTCACCTCAGGTTGGAGAAGCCCTTCCATCTCGATTGCTAACCTCAGACAGGCCTGCCGTGCCTTTCTGGCTCTTTTGGTGCTCTTCCATTCTCAGGGCCATCATCAGGCACCTCCTTCCTCTTGTGACCTACACAGCAATGTCATGCAGGTCTTGTGGCTGATCTTTTGTATCCATTGCCTATATATTGGGATTTGTGGGATACCTTGTCACATTAACACGTGTTATTCTAAACATTGTTCATGAGTTTTTGGTTGTGCTATCATAGTCATGCTGTCTGTTTTTATGAAGGGATTGGGAGATGTAGAAAAACAATATTGCTGACATTGCCATTTCCCCAGAATCCTTTCTTACCTTTTCTCTTGATCTAGCTAAATCCTGGGTATTCTTTAAAATTTAAACCTAAGTACAAACAAACACTCCTTATTTCCCACCGTGTTGGTTGGGGAATAAAGCATTGCGAAGACCCCTGAAGGTGCCTTGCTGGTTACACCATCCTCCATCCACTTGGAGGCAGCCACCTTCTGGACTTGTGATTACCATCTTTTCATTGTAGTTTTACCAACCATGTATGCAAATAAATCCCTAAACATGTGTTTTATCTTCCTGTACTACAGCGTTATAAAAATGGAATCATGTTGTATGCCTTCTTTTGTGCTTCTGTCAACATCATGGGCTTCACTGGTGGCTCAGACAGTGAAGAAATCTGCCCGCAGTGTGGGAGACCTAGATTTGATCCCTGGGTCGGGAAGATCCCCTGGAGAAGGAAATGGCCACCCACTCCAGTATTCTTGCCTAGAAAATTCCTTGGACAGAGGAGCCTGGTGGGCTATGGTCCATGGCATCACAAAGAGTCAGACATGACTGATTTGATTGTAACTGTATTGAGAGTTTTATCCATTTTCTTTGTTGTATACAGTATTCCATTGCATCAACATACCATAGATTATTTATTGTTTTAAAAATTTGTGTCATTTTCTCTTTTTACAATTACAAGCAATGCTGTACACATATCCCCTTTTCCAAAGTAGTTGTACCAACTGCACTCCCACCAACAGAATATGAGAGTACTTATTACTACAAATTCATGATAACATTTGATAGTGTGAGATTCTTAAATTTTTGGCTATGTATTTGGTATGTCATTGGTGTTTGGTGTTTTAAATTTGCATTTCCCTGATTATTGTTGATGTTGATAACTTTTCAATATTTAGTGGTCATTTGGATTTCAGCTTTCATAAGTTGCCTGTGTATCTTCTTTGCCCACTTTTCTTTTGAGAGATACATAGATAGATGGATAGATATAGATAGATAACACACATGTACACACACTTAACATGGGGGGGAGAGGATAGGCAGCAGGAAAAGAAGAAGAAATTATTAAAAAGTGATGTGGCAAGACTGATAATTGTGAACACATATTATACGTTCTGATTTTTGAGGCTTATTGCCGAGATTAATCTTAAATTTGTTTTTCCTCTAACTAGGGCACCAAGATTCTGTGTTACTCATACATCCTCAACAAAACATGCTAGTGCTGAACTGAAATTCTGGCACCTTCGTCAAGAGAAACCAAGGAAAGATGTTGACCCTTTCCCACAAATGGCAACCCTCTTGCCATTAAGACCCAAATCTTGCATTCCACAGTTATCTGAGATGCAGGTAGGTTGTCCAGCGATACTTTGATCTCTTAAGTTTGTACTAAAATGTTGATGCTTGGGTTTTGTACACTAGCACTGAAGTTTTATCATAAGCTTTTAATTGTTTTTTTGTTGTTGTTAATGTACATGCTGCAGCAATTAGGAAAGAAGAAAATTTATGGTTTGTTCTTCACCAGTCTGCCAATGTGATTTTTGAGAAATGCATGATCATGTCGCTTAGTTGCTCAAAACTCCCTAGTGGCCTCCTCTCTCAGTCAGAATGCAAGCTAGAGTCTTTATACAGCTGTCCACTGCCCTGCTGACTTCCTGGCCTTATTCCCTAGCACTCTTCTTTAGCTTATACCACTCCATGCAGTTCCTGGGGCACACCAAACAGAAACCCGAGAGTGTTGCACTTGCTCTTTCCCTTCCACTGGAGCGCTCTTCCTCCAGATATGTGGTCGCCCCTCACTCCGCTTGGTGTCTGCCCTGGTGTCACTTAGTCAGAGAGGCTGTCCTTGATTCTTCCATGTAAACATGCTGCGCGGGACAGCACAGATTCTCTCCCTCACTATCCAAGCCCTCTGCTCTGCCTTATCTTGCCTCATCATACTTAAGACCACGTTGATTTATGTTTATTGTCTTTCACCTCCTACCAGAATATAAGGGACTTTTTTTTTTTTTTTTTCATTTATTTTTATTAGTTGGAGGCCTAATTACTTTACAATATTGTAGTGGTTTTTGCCATACATTGACATGAATCAGCCATGGATTTACATGTGTTCCCCATCCTGATCCCCCCTCCCGCCTCCCTCCCCATCCCATCCCTCTGGGTCTTCCCAGTGCACCAGCCCTGAGCACTTGTCTCATGCATCCAACCTGGGCTGGTGATCTGTTTCACCCTTGATAGTATACTTGTTTCAATGCTATTCTCTCAGAACATCCCACCCTCGCCTTCTCCCACAGAGTCCAAAAGTCTGTTCTGTACATCTGTGTCTCTTTTTCTGTTTTGCATATAGGGTTATCGTTACCATCTTTCTAAATTCCATATATATGTGTTAGTATACTGTAATGGTCTTTATCTTTCTGGCTTACTTCGCTCTGTATAATGGGCTCCAGTTTCATCCATCTCATTAGAACTGATTCAAATGAATTCTTTTTAATGGCTGAGTAATATTCCATGGTGTATATGTACCACAGCTTCCTCATCCATTCGTCTGCTGATGGGCATCTAGGTTGCTTCCATGTCCTGGCTATTATAAACAGTGCTGCGATGAACATTGGGGTGCACGTGTCTCTTTCAGATCTGGTTTCCTCGGTGTGTATGCCCAGAAGTGGGATTGCTGGGTCATATGGCAGTTCTATTTCCAGCTTTTTAAGAAATCTCCACACTGTTTTCCATAGTGGCTGTACTAATTTGCATTCCCACCAACAGTGTAAGAGGGTTCCCTTTTCTCCACACCCTCTCCAGCATTTATTGCTTGTAGACTTTTGGATAGCAGCCATCCTGACTGGCGTGTAATGGTACCTCATTGTGGTTTTGATTTGCATTTCTCTGATAATGAGTGATGTTGAGCATCTTTTCATGTGTTTGTTAGCCATCTGTATGTCTTCTTTGGAGAAATGTCTGTTTAGTTCTTTGGCCCATTTTTTGATTGGGTCATTTATTTTTCTGGAATTGAGCTTCAGGAGTTGCTTGTATATTTTTGAGATTTGTCTGTTTCTTCATTTGCTATTATTTTCTCCCATTCTGAAGGTTGTCTTTTCATTTTGCTTATAGTTTCCTTTGTTGTGCAAAAGCTTTTAAGTTTCATTAGGTCTCTTCTTTGTTAACTGCTTTCTCTCAGTGCCTGGAATAGTGCCTGGCACTTAATAAGTATAAACTGAACAAATGAGTGAAAAATAGCAATGGCAAAATTAGAAATAGTGAGCATTATTTTCACAACAGGGAAGGGTAGGACAAAAAAATAGGAAAAGTCCACAAAGAGAAGAAAAGTTACCCAAATTTACAGAGAAGAAGTAAAGAACCCTATGTGCTTTGGCACAGAGATGTAATAAATGTAGCTAAGACATACATTTCAGAAGTAAAGAGCCTTATTAATCTTTCAAGCCTTTAAAGGTGTCAAACAATGTTGTGTTATTGACCATAGTCACACACGACCCCTTCAGAAATGATTACTTTGTGATTAAGATAACTTATTTTTAAAAGTCAGGAAGATGTATAATGTGACTTTTAAAATTCTGCTTCTACAAGTAGTGCTTTAGAACTTCAAATACCTTACAGTTTTTCTGTCAGTGGTTTCTTAACCCTGTATGCACTCTAGAATCACAGAGAGCTTTTAGACATACTGATGCCTGCGTCCCACCTTCAGAGAGTCAGATTTAATTGATACAGACTGAGTGCATTCAGTTCAGTTCAGTCGAGAAGTCGTGTCCAACTCTTTCCAACCCCGTAGGCTGCAGCACACCAGGATTCCCTGTCCATCACCAGACCAGGTGAGAGTCACTCTAAAATCAGGAGTTTGCATAAAATTGAGGTTCTCATCCTGCCTGAACATTATTTTTTTGGGCCGCATCGTGTGGCATGTGGTATCTCAGTTCCCTGATAAGGGAGCTAACCCATGTTCCCTGCATTGGAAGGTGGATTTTTAACCCCTGGATCACCAGGGAAGTCCCTAGAGTCACATTTTAGAACCTATATTTTAATAAGACTCCTAGGTGATTTGCTGCAAAGCACCGCTACAAGTTAGTGATTCTCAAGCTTCAGTGAGTCACCTATATTTTAATAAGACTCCTAGGTGATTTGCTGCAAAGCACCGCTACAAGTTAGTGATTCTCAAGCTTCAGTGAGTCACCTATATTTTAATAAGACTCCTAGGTGATTTGCTGCAAAGCACCGCTACAAGTTAGTGATTCTCAAGCTTCAGTGAGTCACCTATATTTTAATAAGACTCCTAGGTGATTTGCTGCAAAGCACCGCTACAAGTTAGTGATTCTCAAGCTTCAGTGAGTCACCTATATTTTAATAAGACTCCTAGGTGATTTGCTGCAAAGCACCGCTACAAGTTAGTGATTCTCAAGCTTCAGTGAGTCACCTATATTTTAATAAGACTCCTAGGTGATTTGCTGCAAAGCACCGCTACAAGTTAGTGATTCTCAAGCTTCAGTGAGTCACCTATATTTTAATAAGACTCCTAGGTGATTTGCTGCAAAGCACCGCTACAAGTTAGTGATTCTCAAGCTTCAGTGAGTCACCTATATTTTAATAAGACTCCTAGGTGATTTGCTGCAAAGCACCGCTACAAGTTAGTGATTCTCAAGCTTCAGTGAGTCACCTATATTTTAATAAGACTCCTAGGTGATTTGCTGCAAAGCACCGCTACAAGTTAGTGATTCTCAAGCTTCAGTGAGTCACCTATATTTTAATAAGACTCCTAGGTGATTTGCTGCAAAGCACCGCTACAAGTTAGTGATTCTCAAGCTTCAGTGAGTCACCTATATTTTAATAAGACTCCTAGGTGATTTGCTGCAAAGCACCGCTACAAGTTAGTGATTCTCAAGCTTCAGTGAGTCACCTATATTTTAATAAGACTCCTAGGTGATTTGCTGCAAAGCACCGCTACAAGTTAGTGATTCTCAAGCTTCAGTGAGTCACCTATATTTTAATAAGACTCCTAGGTGATTTGCTGCAAAGCACCGCTACAAGTTAGTGATTCTCAAGCTTCAGTGAGTCACCTATATTTTAATAAGACTCCTAGGTGATTTGCTGCAAAGCACCGCTACAAGTTAGTGATTCTCAAGCTTCAGTGAGTCACCTATATTTTAATAAGACTCCTAGGTGATTTGCTGCAAAGCACCGCTACAAGTTAGTGATTCTCAAGCTTCAGTGAGTCACCTATATTTTAATAAGACTCCTAGGTGATTTGCTGCAAAGCACCGCTACAAGTTAGTGATTCTCAAGCTTCAGTGAGTCACCTATATTTTAATAAGACTCCTAGGTGATTTGCTGCAAAGCACCGCTACAAGTTAGTGATTCTCAAGCTTCAGTGAGTCACCTATATTTTAATAAGACTCCTAGGTGATTTGCTGCAAAGCACCGCTACAAGTTAGTGATTCTCAAGCTTCAGTGAGTCACCTATATTTTAATAAGACTCCTAGGTGATTTGCTGCAAAGCACCGCTACAAGTTAGTGATTCTCAAGCTTCAGTGAGTCACCTATATTTTAATAAGACTCCTAGGTGATTTGCTGCAAAGCACCGCTACAAGTTAGTGATTCTCAAGCTTCAGTGAGTCACCTATATTTTAATAAGACTCCTAGGTGATTTGCTGCAAAGCACCGCTACAAGTTAGTGATTCTCAAGCTTCAGTGAGTCACCTATATTTTAATAAGACTCCTAGGTGATTTGCTGCAAAGCACCGCTACAAGTTAGTGATTCTCAAGCTTCAGTGAGTCACCTATATTTTAATAAGACTCCTAGGTGATTTGCTGCAAAGCACCGCTACAAGTTAGTGATTCTCAAGCTTCAGTGAGTCACCTATATTTTAATAAGACTCCTAGGTGATTTGCTGCAAAGCACCGCTACAAGTTAGTGATTCTCAAGCTTCAGTGAGTCACCTATATTTTAATAAGACTCCTAGGTGATTTGCTGCAAAGCACCGCTACAAGTTAGTGATTCTCAAGCTTCAGTGAGTCACCTATATTTTAATAAGACTCCTAGGTGATTTGCTGCAAAGCACCGCTACAAGTTAGTGATTCTCAAGCTTCAGTGAGTCACCTATATTTTAATAAGACTCCTAGGTGATTTGCTGCAAAGCACCGCTACAAGTTAGTGATTCTCAAGCTTCAGTGAGTCACCTATATTTTAATAAGACTCCTAGGTGATTTGCTGCAAAGCACCGCTACAAGTTAGTGATTCTCAAGCTTCAGTGAGTCACCTATATTTTAATAAGACTCCTAGGTGATTTGCTGCAAAGCACCGCTACAAGTTAGTGATTCTCAAGCTTCAGTGAGTCACCTATATTTTAATAAGACTCCTAGGTGATTTGCTGCAAAGCACCGCTACAAGTTAGTGATTCTCAAGCTTCAGTGAGTCACCTATATTTTAATAAGACTCCTAGGTGATTTGCTGCAAAGCACCGCTACAAGTTAGTGATTCTCAAGCTTCAGTGAGTCACCTATATTTTAATAAGACTCCTAGGTGATTTGCTGCAAAGCACCGCTACAAGTTAGTGATTCTCAAGCTTCAGTGAGTCACCTATATTTTAATAAGACTCCTAGGTGATTTGCTGCAAAGCACCGCTACAAGTTAGTGATTCTCAAGCTTCAGTGAGTCACCTATATTTTAATAAGACTCCTAGGTGATTTGCTGCAAAGCACCGCTACAAGTTAGTGATTCTCAAGCTTCAGTGAGTCACCTATATTTTAATAAGACTCCTAGGTGATTTGCTGCAAAGCACCGCTACAAGTTAGTGATTCTCAAGCTTCAGTGAGTCACCTATATTTTAATAAGACTCCTAGGTGATTTGCTGCAAAGCACCGCTACAAGTTAGTGATTCTCAAGCTTCAGTGAGTCACCTATATTTTAATAAGACTCCTAGGTGATTTGCTGCAAAGCACCGCTACAAGTTAGTGATTCTCAAGCTTCANTTCCAGCTTGTGCTTCATCCAGCCTGGCATTTTGCATGATGTATTCTGCATATGAGTAATTAATTTTATTTATAGAATTCTTAAAAAATTATAAGTAGCTGTTAGGCAACTAGAATGTATATAAGATTTTATTGTTTGTTCTGGATAGTAAAGCATCACAAATATATTTCTTGCTCTCCAGCAGCATATATTACATTCTAATTGAAGCTGACATATAGGAAGTGTTTTTTTTTTTTTTTTGGTTTGTCTTTCAAATTATAAAAATAGTAAAACTTGGGATTTACCTGGTGGTCCAGTGGCTAAGACTGCACTCCCAATGCAGGGGACACAGGTTTGGTCCCTGGTCATGGAACTAGATCCCACATGCTGCAAATAAGAATTTGCATGTTGCAACTAAAGATCCTGCATGCTGCAATGAAGATCAAAAATCCTACATGCCACAACTAAGACCCAGTGTGGTCAAATAAATAAATATTAAATAAATAAATGAATAAAAGCATTGCATTAAAAATAATAAAACTGTAAATTTGGAAACTTAGACAAGTTTTGAAACAAAGAGACAAGTCACTCTGATCTCATCTACTTCTCGACAACTATTAACTTATTTTCTCTTAGGCTTTTTGTGAATTTTTAATTTTAATACATTTATATTTTTGGATTTTGGTAATGTAACATCTTCGTTAGTATTTTTCCAGGTGTTATAATTTTGATAATCCTTTAAAATATTATATAATATTACATTTATATACTTATAAAAATATACATATATGCATGTATATAATTGTTTCTTTCTCCTCTCTGGACATTTTTGATTCTATACTTATAAAAATATACATATATGCATGTATATGATTGTTTCTTTCTCTTTCTGGACATTTTTGATTCATGTGTGTAGCATCTCATGTTCTAGATTCAAATAATTAACTTTTACTACAAAAAACATTTAAGAGTGGGAGTGATACCCATAAAAATAAAATGTCCAAAATGGAAGGAAATAGTCTAAGATATAGCCTCTTATGGACCAATGGTTTCCAAAGTCTTTTCCCACCCTGCTACCTGCATTCCCCACCCCAGCACACATACATTTGCTCACACACACACACACAAACACACATATACACACACGTACACATATACACAGCACTAAATTCTTCCTCCAGGAAAGAGTCTTCTTTCACAATAGTGGGGGACCTTTGGCCTTTTGAAATGCTCTAAATAGGTCTACAGATTTCAGCCTGCTGGCTGCTTTAAAGTTGGAGTTTGAGAAGGGGAATAAGAATATTTAATAGTTAAGAATTAAAAATAAAAATATTTTATTTTGCTTCTTAAACATAGCATAGTAGGTGATAGAGTAAGGGAAGAAATCCTCTAGTGATCAGAATAAATTTGAGGTATCTATGGAGAATGTGCTTTATCCTCTGTCTTTTTCTCCCCACTTGGCCCATTTTTCACTTTGTTCATCATCTTACTACTTTTTAGAAAGAAGAATCCAGTTTACTACAACTTCCTAAATCTCCCAAGAAATCACCTAGAGTAAAGACAGCAGTTTATAAACCTTGGAAGAGTGAGTCTTTGAATCCAGTTTCTTCTAAGGATGATATGATTGAGAAAGGGTAGGTGCAGCTTTCTGTGTCCCAGTGCTTTTCTGCAATGGTAAGATGTTTGAAGAATTTAAAGATTAAATAGAAATTGAAAATGAATACTTTTCTTTTTTTACATGAGTTCTTATATTTCAGGGATAGATAGTAGAGTTATACTCCCATGCATACTCTAAATTAAGAGCAGAACTCTTCAGACTACTAATATTTCTCAAATTTGAGAACTCAAAATACTCCTAATAATATTATGCTTATTTAACATAGTATACTTTAAAAATTCATTTAGAGTTGCCCATCTATTTGCCCAATGAAATTGTTCTTTATTTCAAATGGAATTCTTTTCCTTCCAAAGGGTATTAACTTTGGTATTAATACCAAAGGTATTAACTTTAGTGTGGGGTCTGCTGGTGGATAGTTCTTTGTTTAGTGATTTATTACCTCACATTTATTCTGTTTTATTGAGATAAAATTTACCTACTGTAAAATGCACCATTTTAATCACGTTCAGGTATAAAATTCAGTGGTTTTTAGTTATGTTTATATGATTATAAAACTATCATCACTATATAATTCCAGAACAACTCATCACCCTAAAAAGCAGCTCCGCCTCACTAGCAGTCACTCCTCATTCTCCCCTCCCCCAACGCCGGGCAATCACTCAATCACTCATCTACTCTCTGTGCCTTTCTTTTCCAAGGCCAGTGGAGAGAGGGGTTTAGATACCAAGGCAGTGAGGCTACCTTGGACGTGAAATAGGACAGTTCTTCCTGAGTCAGAATGGAAGGAAATAAGGTTGGGTATGAAAGTGAAAGTGACGTCGCTCAGTCGTGTCTGACTCTTTGCAACCCCATGGACTGTAGCCTACCACGCTCCTCCATCCATGGGATTTTCCAGGCAAGGGTACTGGAGTGGGTTGTCATTTCCTTTTCCAGAGGATCTTCCCCACCCAGGGATTGAACTTGGGTCTCCCTCATTGTAGGCAGACGCTTTTACCGTCTCAGCTAGCAGGGAAGTCGAGGATGGGTATAGGTGGATATATTTGTTGATAGTTAAATTTGAAATGCTTTCAGCTGCAAATAACAGAAAAATTAATCAACAGTGGCTTAGAAAAATTTGACATTTTTTTTCCCACAGAACAAGAAATATGAGTGTAAGCAACTGCTAGTGTCGATTCACCAGATTAAGAGTATTAAGGCTTATATCTTTGTAATGCACTTGGCCATTCCTTTGCAGTCAGTAGAGTTACAGCTCCTGACATCAGGCTTTCAAATCATAAAGAAGGGGGCAGTATCTGTTAATTCTCTCCCTGTAGTCAGGAAAGCATGCTTTCATAGAAGCTCCCCAGCAGACTTAATTTTTTATCTCATTAGTTGCAACTGGGTTACACAACTACTTGTCCCTCCCTGGCGTCTTTTCAAGTGAATATTTAGCTTTTATAGTATTTCATGGTGCTTGTGATAGAATCATGTTGCTGGACATGGGTGTTGAGTTAGCTGGGTGGATTAATAGTGTCTGCTACATGAGGGAGGGGAAACTGAAGCATGTTGTACCTACATTTTGTCTGAGAAGAAACTGCAGAGTAACCTGCTGGTGGGTTGGAGTTGAGGGAGATTGATGAGTTGGAAGAAGTATGTTTTATGGAACTGGAAAGTGAGGTTTGGGATGATTGCACTGGCCTGTGGGAGAGGGAACTGGATGAGAAAATGTAAAAAGATAAGGTCCAAAGTCATTAGTCTAACTCCAGAGTCTTCTGTTATCTCATCTCAGGCTGCCACATATAAACCCTTATGAGACCCACCTGTTACAAGGACTAAATATATTCATATGAACTATTTCTGGCACACCGTTTGGTATATAGTTTAGCTTTTAGTGTCCTCTTGTCCTAAGAAAATCAGTCAACTTTCTGCATTTTAAACAAGACTTTCTCTGCTTACCTTCATATATTGCTCACTATTCTCCCCATCTGAAGAACCCCTTTACAACAGAGAGAGTGTATCTTCCACCAATTAATCATGAAAAAAATCTTGTTTAATTACTAACATAGCTCCAAGGGACTTCTCATTCTTACACGCCCATAGTTTTATTATCCATCCCAGACATTTGGCATCTGTCATACATTCACAAATTCATTCAACCAGCATTTATCTTATTGAGAATCATATTTCTGTATGACTATACCTCATTTTCTCAACATCCTCTTGAGGGCTGGACTTAATGCTTATATATATATATATATATTTTTTTTTTTTTTTTCAAATAGTTCTCACAATGCTTTAGAAGCACTCCTAAGATTTAGTACATGTATATCAAAGGCGCTTAAAATATTTGTTGATTGATTAATTTGTTCTCATCCCTATAATTTAGGTCAAGGCGCATGTCAGAAAGCAGCAAAGTTATTCGTTTAACATCTTTTACTGACATTTCTGAATGTCTGAAGCCCCAGCTGGATAGAAGATACACCTATACAGAAGAACCTTTGGTAAGTATTTGGAGGACTAATTTGACTCTTCATTTTACCTAATCAATGTTCCCTGACTTTAGAGAATTTTTATTTATTTACCATAATAATTTTTCTTTATTGAACAAAAATTTATTTTTTACTTCCAAAAGGATTTTTATACAAAAAGTTTATTTTTTTAAATTTATTTATTTTTAATTGAAGGATAATTACTTTACAGGATTGCATTGGTTTCTACCAAACATCACATTGTTATACAAAAACTTCCTGTTTCTTTTTGTAGCACCATGTTGCTATATATTCCATTTATTACTGTTTTCAAAAACAGCTATGTTCTTGTTTTGGTATGATCACACCTCAGACACAAAATAAAACCCTCTAGGATATTTCATATTATGTTTTAGAGGCTTAGAATTTTTACAAAGCTCAGTATTTCCAGACTGTAGTTACCTTGATAATGTGGATTTAACACACACACTTTTCTAAATGAAAAGTTCACATTCTTTAATAACAGTTACACTTTAGGTAGAAACCTTGGTAGTCCTAATATTGTCTGAACACTTAGATATAATCTTGTACTATTTATTTTATTCTAAGCAAACAAGTCTTCTTTTCTTCTATTTAGTATTTTTCTTACCCAAATAATGACTTTTTAGTTATGGAATGCCAATGGTTAAACATCATAAAAGCATTAAATTTTTACCTCAGAATTTGTAATGTAGGGGAATAAAGGGAGATAATAAAGCAAGAGCAAGAACCTGACTTAAACCCTAAATCACCCATGCCACAGTTGTCTTATTATAAGGAAGTGCGAGTTTCACACAACAAATAGCAAAGAGCTCATGTGAATACTGGATACCCTTTCTTATTTTAGAGTTACTCTTGTGCTTGGAGAAATAGCCAGTTTTCTACATTTCAAAAACGGTGTTAGGCTTGCCAGCATTGTTGGCAGAGAAGCCCATAAATAGCAAAGTTTTATGAGAATTTATACTGCCTTTCCACTTGAAGGCCATGACCTTATGGGGTGAGACTGTCCAGAGAGGGACCCCATAAGGACAGTTAATGAGTAGCACTGAGAGGCCTTGAAGATATTTCTTTTTATAACTCTCTTAGCAGCAACTCAAGGCTAAAATAACAGTAAACATGTAGGAAAGAGGCCACCAACGGAGATTTGGAAGACTCCTAAAATGGTATCAACTGTGCCTGAAATATGAAAATAGTTGAGGGTGGGGAGTCAGTTTAACATGAAGTTTGAAATCAGATTGGTTTATAATAGAGTGAGCTCTGCACTACAGTTGGCTCTGTAAACAAATTTTGTGTGACAGTCAGATGCAACATACTGCATTAATTACATATATGGTACAAAAATAAAATAGTCCATTGGGGAAATGACAGCCTGGCAGAATCTGTGAAACCCTGTTGTTGTTCAATGTCATAAAAAGATTACAATGTTTCTGGGTGAATAATTCACTTCTGTTTTGTTATCTAGATTAAAACCATGGGTGATGGTGCCTTAGGAGGATTTGACATGGAGAATTTGTTGCAATCTTTGTATGTAGAAAATAGAGCTGGATTCTTCTTTACTAAATTCTGTGAGAACTCAGGGAACAAGGTAGAAGATAGTTATTTTAAATCTGATTTTCTACTTTTATTTAAAATGAGAGATTGAAATAATTTAATGCTCAAGTAATTATATTTCATTTTAAAATTCCCATGTCTTCTTGTGAGAAATTTCATGCTAAATTATCTAGTAAAAATGTAGATATCTTAACTATAATTCTGTTTGGTTCACTATCCTACCTCCTACTAAAATTGCAAAAAAAGTACAGATAGATAAGGATTGACTTGCATTATTAACAATTGATTACTTTCGTGTAACTATTTAAATGTAATATATATTAACTTTAGAACTAATTTCTATCAGTCCCTCAATTTTTATTTTTAATAACTCTAGCAATTACAATTGCAATGAATAGTGACAAACTTATTTCAAGGCTTTTTGTTTTGTTTGTTTCTTAGTCATCACAACAGCCTTATTTTGCTCAGATGATAAGTATTTCATTAGCTCAGTTATTAGAGTAGTTTTTACTTCTGATGTGATATACATTTGCCATGTATATCAAGATGCTTTCAGATTTTAGTTTCATGCCATTGATATGTGATTACTCTTTATTTACTATAACACTTAACTTTTTAAATGATCAATCATGTGAGAAATATATATGCAAAAATATAATTTAGTGACAGTGCTCATATTTTGTGTGTTTCCTGTTTGTGATAGAAGATAAAACCATCTTAAACTGAACCTGATTTATAGTGACAGCAAAGAACTAAACAATTACTTGTATTTGAAATTAGAGCTTTGTAGAGCTTTAATAATGGTGGTAATAATTTATGTACCTTTTCCATCTGCAGTTATGGAAGAACTGTGTGTACTTTTGGTTTGACCTACAAGCTTATCATCAGCTTTTCTACCAAGAAACCCTTCACCCTTTTAAAGTATGCAAGCAAGCTCAAGTAAGTAGTAAATAATGTTGGTTCAATGTGACATTCTCAGTACACAGAAATGAAAAGTTTCATCCAGCCTCAAATAAGAGAAATCTAGGAGTGAGGGCGAAAAGGCAGCAGTTAAATTGTTTCCATTGAATTACTTTATTTAAATATCAGCAGAATATTGTTTTATAGTCTGATTTGTGGACTCTCGGTTTTATCTATCAATATTTTATTTGGTTTGCCTTATTTTCTCTTTGCTGCTGATTAATTGTCCTTCCAGTAAAGAACATGTTATCTTTTTTCCTAAGGTATGCCTTTTTGCTTTGGTTGTGAGTGACTTAAAAGAGAATCCTTAGAGGGGACTTGTGATGAGTTATTGAAGTGATTGGGAGCAGAGGCGTTAACCGAAGCTACTCTGTGAGCTTCCTGCAGCAATCAGCTGTTGGAGACGCTTAGGCTGTTGGCCTGTCTAACGAGGGGGAAAGAATGTCGACTGACTCCTTGTGTCATCACGGCCCTGTGTCATCACCTCGGCCTCTGTGCTACACACCATGTAAGACAGATACTCAGAGTTGGAGAAAAGAGCATCATTAGACCTCTTCTGAGCAAAATTGAGGACGAAGAACAGGATTCTCTGCGGAGGGAGAGAAACAATAGCCACTTTTCGAGGCGAAAAGGAAAAGGAATAAAGTTATGACCTAAGCTAACTTGTCCTTTCAGTTTTTAATCTTAGGCTCTCCTGATCCTTTATGGAGAGAGGTCATCAAGCCTAGAAAACTGCTAATCTCTTCTGTGTCTGTTTTCCACTTAAGTGATTCTTCTAATTCTGAAATAACCTCATTATAGAGGAACTTTCTCTGAACAATGCTGAGGAGATTAGCTTCATCATATTGTTTATTATCTTATTATAATGCTATTCAGAACATCAGAGAGTACTTCTGGGTATTTGTTGTTATGGCCACCACCCTGACTTTGGCGTTAATAACTATGTTTTATATATCAGCTGACAGAGCTTTGTACTTTTTTACCACAAGAGTAAGGGCTTCACTTCCTACGCGGCCCAGATCTGGCCCCAGGACATCATGAAATTATATCTCTAATTTGCCAGCACCATTTTCTGAGACCACACAGTTGGCTCTTCTGCTTGTTAATCCTTCACCTGTACTTCTCTACTTATCCTTCTTCCCCTAACCTATTGCCCCGATTGTTAAAATGCCACCTGTTATTTTTATTATGTTTTCACCACAACAAAACTTGCTCTTCCAAAAATCTTCAGCTGCTCAAGTAAGGAGGTTTTTCTGTTGCTGTTGTAATGACAGTATTTCTATATACTTGTAGAAGTGGAAGTTCTATTTGAATTTGGTAGATGTTAATTCTTTGTAATGGTATTCAACCAGCTATAAATGATTGTGAAACAAGATACACTCAAATTTTGGTTATTCTGAGATGGATTATTCTGTTTGGGGATTATCAAGGCCCATAAACTTTTTATCCTTCTCTAGCTTCTCTTTTGAGGAGTCAAAACAGAGTGGGCAGAGGGCAGCGATGGAGACATTGGTTTTAGTTTAATTGGGAGAAATAAAAGGAGCAAATCATGTGATATTTTTGACTTGCTTGCTTTTTGCATCTGTGACTGTTTTATTTTTCTGTTAGTGGAGCAGCTGTCTAAATTGGTTTAGGTTTTAATTATCCAAGATTTCTGTGTTTCCAGATGTAAGAATTGCTTCTAATACCATAACCCTATGTAGATTTGTTTCACAATATGAAATACCATTTGTTTCTTTATATTCAAAAATAGAAATGCTGTATAACTTCTTTCAGGGGTTCATTTACAATACAGATCTTTGGATTGATCATGCCAATGGCAGAAGAGTTGGCACTGTGTTAAATTGGTTAAATTGTTAAATTGTGTGAATTTGGTTTTTATACATCTGACAAACTGTATAGTAAGAGACCAAGAGTTGATTATAAGACACTTACATCTTTTCTGTTTGCTGATCAGCAAATTACTTACCTTGAAATTTTATTACCTCAAGATGTATTGGAGAAATATCTGCAGGCAAACTAGATGGGAGGTCAGTGACAGTGATTTAGTATGACTAGCTATGGTCCAAGAGTTTGAACTACAGTCTTGGGCACATCCTGAAGGTTTCGTTGCAGCACAGCTTCAAGATAGCATGGTTCAGTTAGAAACCAAATGAAGTTGTCTTGCACGAGGGATAGGAATCACCATCAGGATGCAGAGATACAGTCCTTGATCCCAGCAACAACTTGCCAGGGGACCATCTGTCACTGCTAAGGTTTGGAGCCCAGATTGCTGGCACCAGTAGTCCTAAGGCTTTCTTTAACATCGCATACTTGCTTCAGTAGGGCTTCCCTCGGGGCTTGGCAGTAAAGAATCCACCTGCAACGCAGGAGACTCGGCTTCAATCCCTGGGTCCGGAAGATCCCCTGGATAAGGAAATGGCAACCCATTCCAGTATTCTTGCCTGAGAAATCCCGTGGACAGAGCAGCCTGGCAGGCTGCAATCATGGGGTTGCAAATGAGTCAGACACGACTTCTAAGTGACCAAACAGCAACAACTTGCTTCAGTGGCAGAGCACTGCAATAGAATAAAGTGGATCTCAGTTCCACTGTCTTTTGTAACTTCCTCCATCTTTGTAGAACTCTTTAAAAGAAACCTTGTCCTAACAAAAACTACACATTTAGAAATTACCACTCTCTGTAGCATATACATTGAGATTTTAAAATTTTAGTAAACTTGTATGGTGCAGAAGTATTATAAATGTTTACACATACACACACACACAAACATGTTCAAAATAAAAAATAAATGGGAAGGATGAAGAGAGAAAAAACAGTAAAAATAAAAGCATAGGAGAAAAGTTATGTGGAGAATGTAGGAACTAATGAGTAAAGAGAGTAGATAAGAATGAAATGGAAGTGAGGAATAAGAGGATTACTAGGTAAATCCACAGCACTTTTACCACACAGTACTGTTTAATATAAAGATATTCTTGCAGCAATGTGAGATTTTTGTCTTGAACATCAGGGTAACACATTTTTTATTGAAGTATAGTTTATGATATTTCAGAGTGATCAGAATATTATATATTAATCTTATACCCACCAAGTAGTCTTGACTATATTTTTGATTACAGCCAATGCTGTGTAGATTTGTTCATGCACAGATATCTTGCTTACTCTTGGTTTTTGCATCACATTCCTTCGTTTGGGTTTGATTTCTGAACAATAGCTTTTAGTAGGTTTTTTGTTAGGATTTCCTAGTGGTAAAATATCTCTCAGGTCTTGTTTGTCTGAAAATGTCTCTTCTCTCATTGATCATTTAGTTGAATATGGAACTCTAGGTGGGCAGTTTTCTCTTAGCACTTGGCAGATATTTTTCTGTATGACGGTTTCTATTGCTGTTGTTGAAGAGTTTGCTGTTGCTCCTCTGAGGGAGGATTTTTTGATCATTGCTTTTATAATCTTCCCTTTGACCTTGGGGTTCTATATGTTACCTCAGTATATTTACTACGATTATCTTTCTTGGGTCTAAGTTGTTTCTAGAATCTGAGGAATCCTATCTTTCATCAATTCTGGAAAATTCTCAGCCATTATTTCTTTCAGTCTTTCTACTTCGTTTTTCTGGGTTCTCTGGTCAATGTGTTCTCTGGATTCTTTGGTCAATTTTGGTGTTTTTCAGCCTATCCTATATCTCTCTTAATCTCTCGAGTCTTTCCATCTTATAACATCTGTGTTAAATGTTATAAACTGAACTAGATCAGTTTTCTTTGATCTGTTGTCTGGTTCATGTATTATTTCTTCAGCAGATTTCAATTTGCTGTTTAACCCATCCATTGAGTTAAATCATTTAAGGAACTGCTTTTTTTAAAAATTATTAGACATTCTACTTGTGTTTTTAGACCTCCCTGTTTTATCTTTTTGTCTTCTTTTTCTTCACGTTTTTACTTCTCCTTTTCTATCTCTAACCATTTTAAACATGTTTCATCATCTATAGCTATGTTATCTATTCCTGCATAAGAATAGTAATATACCTTTGTGGCTTAAATAGCACACATTTATTACCTCACAGTTAATACAGGTAAGGGATCTGGACGCAGCTTTGCTGGGTCCTCCACAAGGCTGTAAATCAGGATACTGACCAGCACTGGTTGCTCATCTGGGGCTCCGCTGGGGAAAGGTCTGCTTGAGTGCTCACAGGTTGGTAATGGCATTCAGTTCCTCGCAGGTCACCAGCATAAGAACTCAGTTTTTTGCTGGCTGTTAGCTTGCAGCCACTTCAGCTCTGAGACATGTGGTGCTCTCTGATCCACATGGCAGATCACAGTGTGGCAGCGTGTTTCTCAAAAAACAGCAAGGATGAGAGTTTCTTAGTAAAACTGGTATTAAGTAACATACCAGCATGTAATGTAATCATGTACTCATAAGCACATAAATCTCATCACTGTTGCTCCATTCTGTTGGTTAGAAGCAAGCCATATGTTCTGCCCACTCTTCGGGGGAGAGAGCTACGAGAGGCAGTGGCACTCGGCGACACTGCTCGTGGGAGCCACCCTAGAGTCTGGCCGCCGCGGTATCCAGTAATTCCACGACTTCTAATTCCGGGAGAACTGATTCTTCTGTTTATTATTTCTGCTGACATGGTGGATTCTTTCTTTGTGTGTTTTGTAATTTTAATTTATGAGCTCTTATAGTGAGATTTTTGTCTGTGGTGCTTCTGCTAGGCACATTTTTAATGCCAATTTGTCATCGTGGAGTTTCTTCATTTGACAAGTGTAATCTTGAAAACCAAACCCAAATGATGATAAACTCATGACAGTGAGTCCTCAGGAGATCTTTTTATATACACAGTATAAGCCAAGACAAGCGAGCTTCTTTTTTGTTTCTTAGGCTTGGTAGGCGTATACAGGCAGATTTTCTCCTCCTCTCCATGTCCCTGTGTGTGCCCTTCACGGGCCATAGTGTGTGTGTGGGTGTCGGTGTCAGATTTTCCCTTTGT